GAGTAGCTTTCAGCTTTTATAAAATGATGTTGAGCTACATAACGATGGTTGAACTTGCCTGAAAAGCTCAGAAACTAAAAAAATCTTCTGCTTAGTTTTATGTAATTATTTGTGAAAATACCAGTTATTTCTGAAAGTGATCATTAATGTCACAATAATACATTATTATTAAATTTTAGCAAGTAATCTATCAAATGGGCTAAATATTGATAGGTATTTTAAAAAAAGATCTACTTTAAACCTTGGGAAATCTAGGAAGAGATAGTATCCTAAAAACTAATTATATTAACATAGGGGAGCTATTTAAATTGACTAGGCAAAGTATTTTTAAAATCCTCAAATACTTTGTAGAAACAAGTATCTATTACAATTGATATGCTGACTATAAATCAATTTACCTATTTATTAAACTTCCCAATGAAAATATCTGGCTTCCTCAGCCTTTAGACATGAAATAAACAGCATTTACTTAAAACTGTACTCATTTGCTTTCTAAAATATTAAGTGCACTGCATTTCAGGTGCTGTTCTAAATCCTGATCAGCACAATCCCTCACCAGCAAGTCCTTGGACTAAGCTGATACAATTTCTCAACTGAGATTTTCTTCAGGTGATTCTAGGCTGTGTCAAGTTGTTAGAGTAGCAAATAGCCCCATAAGTATAACTGGTCAAGACTATAAAATCTCTAATCTATTTGTTGGAAGATCCACCTTTCCAATGTCACTGGTCAATCATCTGGTCATAGGACCATCCCCAGAAAGGCAGGTTTACCTTAAGTTATGCAAAATGGGTGGCATACGTAGTGTGTTAATGAAGTAGTGAATTTTTCCTGCTTGGAATCCTGGCTCCTAGTGCAGAACCTCTGGACCCAGAAACAGACATGTAAGTCTGCCTGCTTTTCTGAATCTTTCTGAAAAGCATAATCTCTTCTTCATATCCTTTTCTTTTTAATATTTTATTATTTTTATTTTATGTGTACAAGTGTTATGCCTGCATGTAGGTAAGTGCACCTGTGTGGTGCAATGCCTGTGGAGGACAGAAGGGGCTGTCAGATCCCCTGGAACTGGAGTTACGGACAGTCGTTAGATGCCATGTGGGTGCTGGGATTCAAACCCGGGTCTTCTGCAAGAATAGTCAGTGTTCTTAACCACTGATCCATCTCTCCAGCCCCCATATCCCTTTTCTAAACATGCTTTCTTTAATGCATTGGGATGCCCTAGCATCTTGTATTTCTTTACTTTTTCTCTCAAGCTTCCTCCTCCCACTATGTGGCTGCCAGTCAGCCAAGTGTCTGACCTCCTTGCAGGCTCTAAACCTACATTACTCCATGGCTTTCTTTCCTTCTCCCCTCCATTGTACTCCTCAAGGCAGCTGATTACCAGCTCCCCACCCTGAGGACTTTCTTTAAAGTTCTAATAAAATTGTCCTGAAAGTTTCTGTTTGGGTCCATTCTTAATTGAGACTAAGAACCCTCTACAGGGCATTCTTTCTCCGCGTTTCAAAGTGGACAGTTAGAGCTAACTAGGACAGCAGGGTTAAAGAGAGTAGGGAAGAATATAAACAAGGAATGAAATAATTAAAGATGGTGTCCAATAGATAAAGGTGCAGAAATGAAAGAGTAATGGACAGAAAGTGAGAGGGTAAGGAAACTTAACATCACAGTCTCTGAAGTAGTGATTAAGCTGAGACCCAAGTGATAAAATAGAGGAATTTCTGGGTAATTTAGAAAATAGGAAACCCAAGAAGTTGGGAATACCTGGCCTGTAAACTGCCAGCACATGAAAACAAAAATCAGACAACAAAACCAAAACCAAAACCAACAACAAAAAAGAAAAAACAACATAGTCCTCCTGACATTTGAGGAGCCCAGGACAAGAGCACAAGGAAGCCTACATGCAAAATGCCGAAACATTTATATGTCCAAATCAAGATAACAAATTGGCTAAAGAAAAATATTCCATCCTCCTACCTTGACATATCCTCCAGCATAATATGATGATCTGAGCAAAACTGGCTTCTAACTCCTGATTGATCCCTTATTCTCCTATTCTGGGTTCAAAGTACATTGCAAGGGACTTTACATACCCTACATGTAGGAACCTCAGTGTGTCCATCCAAGCTCATTCACACATTTTTTTTCCATGTAACTACCTAAGCCAGCATCCCTTCCAAGTGCATGCCAGTCAGGAATTACACTACCCAAAACAAGTCTCCTAGTCTCCATGACAGAGAACTCTTTACCCCATCATTATACTTCAAGGAAGGAAAACAGAAAAACTAACAATCATTTCACAATTAATCTTATGTATCAGCCACTCTTTTTAATTTGTACCTAAATAGTTGATAGGTATTAGATATATATAGTAAGTTTATATTAAGTTGAAAATGTAATTTTAACTAATTCAAATTTACTAATTTGTTCAAGATATGTGGCAAAACTGGGATAAGAACTCATTAGCATTCTGAAGCCCGTGCTTTGAAGACAAGAACATGTAAATTATAAGTACAGTTAGTTGTCACCGCCTATCAAACCATGGACAAACTAGAAGTGTTCCAGAAAAAAAGTAAAAGATAATCAGAAAAACAGATTAGTGTTTGTGTTAGATACCCAACATGTACTCAATGATCATCCCAGTAATATTTATAACAGAATTTGCAGTACATCTATTAATAGGTCCAAACTTCAGGAAAAATCTGAGTATTGAGAAGGCATTGGAAGTCATTGTCATGTTACGGAAAGTCAAGATCCTCAGGTAAGGTTAATCAGAGTATGTATAGCAAGAAGAAATTATTCCTTCTTTCAACAATTTACCAAATTCCTCTCACATCCTCCTTCTCAGGATTATTTTCAGTCTCTTACTGAGTCTTAGAATTTGACATTCACAAGTAACCCATCTTTAGTCGCTAAATCATTTTGTAGCAGCAATCTGAACAGAAAGACAGGACCCCAAGGTCTGCAGGAAGCAGTTTATTTGCACCAGTACAGTCCCAGAGACAGATTATTTCTCTAAAGCAGGTCCCCCAAATAAATAATATCTTATCCTTTATATCCCATGTACAGTTAATTTATCTCCCGTATATAGTAGCACACATATCCTGACTGGGTGCTCTGTGCTACAAGGTCATGACAGGCAGAGCTGTGTATGTGCACTCAGGCACAGAAAATGCTGCATTTCTTTTTCCTGTGTTGGAGGGTTGTTCCTGCCAGATTTGTTTTGCTTTTTTTTAAATGTGTATTTGTGTGTGTGTGTGTGTGTGTGTTTGTATGCTGTGTATGTGTGACTGTCAAGACCAGAAGAGGGTGTGTGGAGCTGGAATTACAGGAAGTTATGAGTTCTACAACATCAGATATGAGAACTGAACTCTGGTTCTCTGGAAGAGCAGTAAGCATGTTCTTACACGGAGCCCTCTCTCCAACCCCACTAAACCATTTTTAAAATAATTTATTTTTATTTTTGTGTACGAATGTATTGCCTGCATCTATGTAAGTGCACCCAAGTAATGCAATGCCCTCAGAAGAGGTTGACCAACGCCCCTGGAACTGGAATTACAGATGGTTTTTAGCTACCATGTGGGTACTGGGAACCAAACCCTGGTCTTTTGCAAGATTAGCCGGTACTCTTAACTGCTGAACCATCTTTCCAGCCCCATTAAGTCATTTTTTATCTCAATGTTCCCACTGGTTTTAAGCCAAACTGAGTAAAATGCTAGCTGAAAACTAAAACTTGTGTTGGTAGTACAACAATGGGCAATACCATCTGTCCTGGAGACACTCTGATCTAGCTTGTGAGACTCAAATTTGATTTGCAAAGCTATTGATGAGTACTTTATATACATATAGCACTAGTGCTGAGGTAGGATGGAGAGGAAAAATTACATGAAAAGTGAAGGAGCTCTTCACATGGAGTCTGATTGAAGCTTCTCACCAGCTGAGAACTTCAGTACAATTAACAGCATTTGCTGTGAAGAGCGCCAAAATAAAGACAATATTCCTTTATGTAAAGATAATCTGTGTTCAAGTAGCAATGAATCATGCTCAAGGACCTATCTGTCCTTCAGGTATAGCCTGACTGCTTTCCTAAGTATTTTCTCCGAATCTTACAAACAACTTTGCTTATATCAACTTTGCTTATAGCTAAGACATCCTGATTTCCTGCAACTTTGAGATCTGGTGTTTCATCAGATTATAATCTTAGTCCTCCAAAACTGCCCTGTGATCTCACTTACAACGCCTTGGCAACCCTTTAAAGATAACTTCGAAGTCGCCAAAATCCTGCCTATAAATAGCGTAATGATAATGAAATGTGACCCTTCACCCAACTCTGCTTTGTATAGGCTTGTCCTAAAATTCTTTTCTGTGGTGTTTCCAAAGATTCAACTCCCCCTGCTTGGAAGTCTCTGAAAGCAATCTCTTTATTGCTGCAGTGTCAGTAACTCGATGAATTCCACGAAGTATGCCAAATTATAATTACTTTATCCACATGATTTATGCACAGTTCTAACACCCAAGTGTTAGCTTGTGTCGGTGAGCACTCATCTTTCATTATGTGACTCAGGGGCAGGCACTAACTGCTCTTTTACAATCCTTCACAGCCTCAGAAGACCTGTTGCAAATACACTGCGGAAACATTTTGTACCGCTTCTTCACAGCTTGGCTTGGGAGGTTACTCGGAATGGAAATGAAGCTTCGCCACAAAAGTGCAATCCAAACACCGCCGATCTGCAGATCGCTGACAACCAAGGAACGGTACTAAATATTGTCCAGCGGAGGCCACACACACGTTTGTCTTTCCCGCGAGTACTCCAAGGACCAACCCCACCGGCTTTCCGTGGAGTTCCGCATCAGGTTCGTCGGCGCACTTTCATTACGTCACCGCGCCAGATCTCGCGGCGTCACCCCTAGCCTAGGACTTAACAAAGGTATCGCGAAGTTTGTCCCGCAGATCCACGGCGAGCCTCTCATCCTCCGCCACCCCACCCCCAAGCCGTCTGGCCGTTCTCGGTCTCTGCCTCAAAAATTCTCGCCCCCCCCTCCCCCGCCCTTCCTCAAGCGGCCGCCGTCCTCCCAGTTCCGGAACCGGAAGCGTGGTGGGCGGGGCCCGGCAGCGGAAGGCTGCGGAGCCGGAGCCGGGAGTCGGCGGTGGCCGTCGGTCCCGCCACGGAGCGCTGGGCAGCGCTGCGTGGCCCCAGGCGGAAGGTCGGCCCGCAGTGGGTGCGCGGCGCGGTGCCCGCTAGGGATCATGTCGACAGCCTCCGCCGCCTCCTCCTCCTCCTCGTCTTCTGCCAGTGAGATGATCGAAGCTCCTTCCCAGGTCCTCAACTTTGAAGAGATCGACTATAAGGAGATCGAAGTGGAAGAGGTGAGCCGCGCCGGGCAGGGCCCCGCGAAGCGCGCTTATAATAATACTATTTGATGCTCCAGTGCCTGCTAGACAGCCTGGTCCACCAGTACTTCCAGCCAAAAGTAGTAAATTCAGCAGGGACTAGCGGCTGTGATGTTTGAATTCTCTGGACGTGGTGTTAAAGGCAGAATTTTGTATGTTTTTCTAGCTCGGAGTGTGATGTCAAAGGATGCTCATACATGCTTGTAAAACTAAGAGATCAAGTCTAGTGGTCTTTTCTGGTACCGGATTCATCTTTCTCCTATACCTTAAGTAGTCCTGGTAATCTTACGTGTTCTGCCTTCAGTTGGGCTAATTTAGATGAATTTCGCCATTAGCAACATGAGTCTATTACGAAAATATGTTTAAAGTAGCACATTCTAAAGAGGCAACTAATGATTATAGTGGCTAGCAGAATATAATACCACACCAGACATCGCTATTAGAGGCAGAATACGTTTTATCTTCTGTTGTAATTTTAGAGCAAACCGTTAAACTTAGAGCAACCTTTACTACATCATTTCTTTTCACATTCACAGTGGGATAAATTAAAGTAAAATTTACAAAAGAGAAATTGCACATATATTTAAAACACAGTTTAGAACCTGTTAAAACTTTAGTTAGAAATACCTCCATACAGTTACTATGTGAACCAGGTTGTCCTTTTTTAAATTAAGGACTTTACATTGCCTGTACCCTAATGCTGTGGAATCTAGCGAAATATGATAGGCTGGAAAATTTTGTTTTTAAAAATCTAAAATGACTTGCAATAACAGCAAGTTAAAAGTAGCAAGGTTATTAACACTCGGGTACCTTTTTTTCTTAATGGATTATTAAAGCATAATTTTTATCACATGAAGTAACTTTAGAGGGCATTGCGTTTATCGTGAACATCCTCATTTTACAAGATAATGTGGTGGGAAGAGCAAGATTTGAGAGTTGGAGGAAGAGCTGATGTATCAGATATACTCTATATGTGACTTAGTTTCCTACTCTGTGCTACTGAGTTCCTCTCCTTAACTATAAGGTGGGAATAATTACCATTTTGTGGGTAAACAGATCCAGGTAAACAGTATATGCAGAAAGCCCAACATAGTGTCTGACACCTATTAGGAAAGTTAATCCTAAAGAGGAGTGACCAGCTTTAAAAGGTTACATGCTAAACGAAGGCCTGCATGTTGAAGAAGAGGAAATTTTCTGGGGTTTTGCTTTGTTTTTTCTCGTTAAGGCTGAAATAACCTCCTTTTTTCAGAAGTAGGTAGTTGATCCAGCTTTCTTGGCTAACATTCTTTTTTAAGGCTAAAAATTCAGTGAGTCAGTATACAAGAATTGTAGTTTTTAAATACTCATTTACGTCTGCTCTGCTGAATTGCTGTGCTTGTGGACCACAGATTGTTAACAGTAGCTTGTTCTTCGTGGTCTACCACATGGTTTCACAAACTTGCTTCATTTGGTTCTTCAGCCTTAGTTTTTACACACTGCTTTTCAAAGCTTTCCCATTCTTGCTTCACTGAAGAATGCCAGTTACTAAAAAGCCAGAACAGTACCAGTTTGATGCTCTTTTCCCATAGCTGGTTCCCTTCTGATTGGGTTCTTGTGTTTCTGAGACCCTCCTTTCAGTCTTGCTTCAGTGCTCTTCCGCCTTTAGGACTACTGGTGGAAAGTAAATTTTTGGTTTTCAATGAAAATTTCTATAGATAACCATTTAGGGTTTTTGTTTGTTTGGTCTGTTCTTTTTCATTTTAGTACATAATTTATTTTCACATTAAAAATTTCATTCAAACCTTTCTGATTTTGAAAACATTACATAATTTGTTAACATTTTTCATTTGAACACATGGAACAGTATTATTAATCTGTGATACACCCGAACACTCAAGCTGTTTTTCAACTTACACGCCACTTGTAGTTTAAATCATAAATAGAAAACCAGATAGATGACCCAACACAAAAGCTATTTTACATTGCTTTCAATATTTTATATGGACGAGCATGTCACTTTTAAATTTAAAAACTCATAGGTTGTGGTGTAGCTCAGTATTAGAGTGCTTGCCTGCCATGCTTGAGGCTCTGTGTGCAATCCCCTTTAGTTAGGAGAATCATATTATTTATTTCTCAAATAACAATATAATTTAATCAGCATTATATAAATATAATTAGAAGCTATGTAAAAAAAAAAAAAAGTGTCCAGCCACAGACCAAATATGGAATCATTTAGTAGATGTAATCTCTGTTTCCATGATAGTTCAGAAGTTCTTAGATTATGATAGGGCATGATTTCCCATTGACTGTAGTTGATGACCAAACTAATTTTGGGTAGACAGGGTAAATGATATCCCATTTTCCAGATACTGAGAAGTGGTCATAGAGTTTGATTTGCCAGAAGCCACATGTAAGTGGTAGAGCTGGGAATTTGAAATTTCTCATTCATGAGTCATTTGCTCTTTCCATTGGATCTACAATGTCACTTTAGTACTCCATAATGGAATCTTATTCTGGAAATGGGGATATAAAATACTGATCTCCTTTATAGTAGCTGGTCTTCAGCATTTCACATTTTCCACTGCATATTGTACAACTAAGGTTCAATGGAAAATTAATAAAAGAATCCTTTCCTCAAAGTTTATGTTCGGAATCATGATCTCGAAGTATAAATTGAGCACGTAAGCCATAACTTGAAAATTGAGTAAACCTCAACAGCCTGAGTCAGTAGACAAGATTTAAACTAGGCTTTGAATAAAGTGAGTGTCATTGGTTCAGAACATCACTAAGATAATTATCTTTGCATTTATTCCTATTCCTAATGTGTTATCCCTCCAGAATATCACATGAATAGTTCCTGCTTACCATTCAGGTCCCACTTCAAATGTTCCTTCATTAAAGAAGCTTTCCCCAAGCAACCCAGGACTTTGTTGTTTCTGTTGTCCTTCACAACAGGTAACCAGAACTGAAACTGTAACCCTCAGCCAGACGTAATCCCAGTGCCTAGCACTAGGAGGCTTGTTAAGAATTTGTTGAAGCGATAAATGAAATTATCACAGCATAATTATGAGAATTAAATGCACGTCTAATTCTCTTATATCACATGTGATAAACCACGAGTTAAGTTGTGTGATTTGGCTTAGGCAGTGCTTACACTCAGAAATGAGCTCTGGCTCTTATTCCAGTCTAGGTTCCCCTCTGCTCCATTAGACTCATCAAATACTTTCATGTAGCAGGAGGAAAGATGCTATGAAAAGCCAGGTACTCTGAGTGGACCTTCATTTAAGTAACTACCAAGACTATATTTATAGTGCTTACTTTGCAAAAGAGTCCCAGAATCCTGACCACAACTAAGCATATTGGATGCATTTAATCACTCTTTTACATGTGTGCTTAGATTTCATTAAAAAAAACATAGAAAAGGTTTTGTGTTTAAAAGCTAAAATATGCTAGGTAGGGAACAATAGAAAGAACTTGAGCTGGTGTTTTGAGATTTAGGTTATAAATGATTGGGCAAAGCAACATTAGTGAAAAACCTAAAATTATAAGAATCTGAATAAACTGAGTCAATAGATTTGTTTGTCGTAACTTAGTTACGGATATTCAAAAATAACCATAAACTCTCATATGTGAAACTGAGTGACCGCTGATTTCAGTAGAAATCTGGAATGATAATGAGGTGGCTACGGAGATTGTTTATATATTGTGTATATGTAGCTTGATGGATAATCTGAGAGTGTTATTTAAAGGAAAGGCTTATTAAGTGGGTCACATGTTTCATGACAGATTTAAAGGAGTGCGGAAGAACAAGTAATCAAAGCTTTACTTTTATGTTACCAAATTTGTCTTGTCAGCAGTTTATTAATAGATACTAAGGTTCTGAGTAGTTGGAGGCCCCGAGACCTCACTAATAAATTTAGGATCTATGCTTGTTTTGTCGTGTTCCAGATTTCTAACCGGAATGATGGCAGCATAGCTAGAGGTCTTTTCACACAACCGGTAGAACCGAGCCAAGCCAGTCTGACAGCTACAGTTACTAAACAAACAAAAATGAGCTGGAGACAACATAAATTATAGTAAATTAAGATAGTACAAGAACATATAAACCTTTTCCATTAGTTTAGGTGTTTGGTAGTTATTTTTTTAACCTTACTTGGGTGAAGGAAGGGAGTAATCTTTTATACTAAAGAAATTGGGCTCATTTTTGTGTGTGCGTGTGTGTGCGCGCGCACATGCACGTTCATGTCTTTGCAGGTACATGTATGCACATGTGTGGAGTCCAGAGAATATCCTCCTGTGTTCTTCCTCGGGTGGCATCTACCTTCTTTTAAGATGGGCCTCGTCCTGGCCCGAAATTTGCCCAGTATGCTAGGCTGGTCAGGCAATGAGCCCCAGAATTCTACCTTCCTCTGCCTTCCCAGTGCTGGAATTAAAAGTGTGTGCTTTTTAAAATGTGGTTTCTGGGATTGAACTCAAGTCCTCATGCTCGTGCAGCAAGCACTGACTGACCGAGCTGTCTCCCCAGCCAAATAAATTAGTTTTTTAAAGTTCTTTGCGCTTTTCAATATTTTCATCATGTTATTCTGCATACCTTCTTTGACTTGCTAAGAAAGTAAATTTAAATCTCTTGTGAAACTAAATTTGTAAGCTTATAACCAGAAGACCTACACCATAGGAGGAGAAATGCGTATCACAAGAAATACAAAACATTGTAATTTAGAAAACAACTTTAGAAGGAAATATTTCCACATTGACGTCTTTTAAAACCAATGTCTTTGTATTTCTCTCTTTTGTTTTTTAAAGATGAGATTATTTTTAAAAATCTAAAATTGGGGCTGGAGAGATGGCTTAGCAGTTAAGAGCACTGACTGCTTTTGCAGAGGACCTGGGTTCAGTGCCTAGCATGGTGGCTGACAGCTGTCCATAACTCCAGTTCCAGGGGATCTATCGCCCTCTTCTGACCTCCACAGGCATTGTACAACATGGGTATACTTACA